GAGTACTGACCACTCTGACAACAACAACAACTGGACAAGCACTAGAGTACTGACCACTCTGACAACAACAACAACTGGACAAGCACTAGAGTACTGCCCACTCTGACAACAACAACAACTGGACAAGCACTAGAGTACGGGCCCACTCTGACAACACCAACAACTGGACAAGCACTAGAGTACTGCCCACTCTGACAACAACAACAACTGGACAAGCACTAGAGTACTGCCCACTCTGACAACACCAACAACTGGACAAGCACTAGAGTACTGCCCACTCTGACAACACCAACAGCTGGACAAGCCCTAGAGGACTGACCACTCTGACAACACCAACGACTGGACAAGCACTAGAGAACTGACCACTCTGACAACTCCAACAACTGGACAAGCACTAGAGGACTGACCACTCTGACAACAACAACAACTGGACAATCACTAGAGAACTGACCACTCTGACAACACCAACAGCTGGACAAGCACTAGAGGACTGACCACTCTGTCAACACCAACAACTGGACAAGCACTAGAAAACTGACCACTCTGACAATACCAACAGCTGGACAAGCACTAGGGGACTGACCACTCTGACAACACCAACAACTGGACAAGTACTAGAGGACTGACCACTCTGACAACACCAACAACTGGACAAGCACTAGAGGACTGACCACTCTGACAACAACAACAACTGGACAAGCACTAGAGGACTGACAACTCTGAAAACACCAACAACTGGACAAGCACTAGAGGACTGCCCACCCTGGCAACACCAACAACTGGACAAGCACTAGAGGACTGACCACTCTGACAACACCAACAACTGGACAAGCACTAGAGGACTGCCCACCCTGGCAACACCAACAACTGGACAAGCACTAGGAGACTGACGACTTTGACAACACCAACAACTGGACAAGCACTAGAGGACTGACCACTCTGACAACACCAACAGCTGGACAAGCACTTGAGGACTAATCACTCTGACAACACCAACAATTGAACAAGCACTAGCAGACTGACCACTCTGACAACACCAGCAACTGGACAAGCACTAGAGGACTGCCCACTCTGACAACACCAACAACTGGACAAGCACTAGAAGACTGACGACTTTGACAACACCAACAACTGGACAAGCACTAGAGGACTGACCCCTCTGACAACACCAACAACTGGACAAGCAATAGAGGACTAATCACTCTGACAACACCAACAACTGGACAAGCACTTGAGGACTGACCACTCTGACAACACCAACAACTGGACAAGCACTAGAGGACTGCCCACTCTGATAACACCAACAGTTGGACAAGCAGTAGAGGACTAACCACTCTGACAACAACAACAACTGGACAAGCACTAGAGGACTGACCTCTCTGACAACACCAACAGCTGGACAAGCACTAGAGGACTGACCACTCTGAAAACACCAACAGCTGGACAAGCACTAGAGGACTGACCACTCTGACAACACCAACAGCTGGACAAGCCCTAGAGGACTGACCACTCTGAAAACACCAACAGCTGGACAAGCACTAGAGGACTGACCACTCTGACAACACCAACAACTGGACAAGCACTAGAGGACTGACCACTCAGACAACACCAACAACTGGACAAGCACTAGAGGACTGACCACTCAGACAACACCAACAACTGGACAAGCACTAGAGGACTGACCACTCTGACAACACCAACAACTAGACAAGCACTAGAGGACTGACCACTCAGACAAAAAACCAACAACTGGACAAGCACTAGAGGACTGACCACTCTGACAAACACCAACAACTGGACAAGCACTAGAGGACTGACCACTCTGACAACACCAACAACTGGACAAGCACTAGAGGACTGACCACTCTGACAACACCAACAACTGGACAAGCACTAGAGTACTGACCACTCTGACAACACCAACAACTGGACAAGCACTAGAGGACTGACCACTCTGACAACACCAACAACTGGACAAGCACTAGAGTACTGACCACTCTGACAACACCAACAACTGGACAAGCACTAGAGTACTGACCACTCTGACAACACCAACAACTAGACAAGCACTAGAGTACTGACCACTCTGACAACACCAACAACTGGACAAGCACTAGAGGACTGACCACTCAGACAATACCAACAACTGGACAAGCACTAGAGGACTGACCACTCAGACAACACCAACAACTGGACAAGCACTAGAGGACTGACCACTCTGACAACACCAACAACTAGACAAGCACTAGAGGACTGACCACTCTGACAACACCAACAACTGGACAAGCACTAGAGGACTGACCACTCAGAACAACACCAACAACTGGACAAGCACTAGAGGACTGACCACTCTGACAACACCAACAACTAGACAAGCACTAGAGGACTGACCACTCAGACAACACCAACAACTGGACAAGCACTAGAGGACTGACCACTCTGACAACACCAACAACTGGACAAGCACTAAGGACTGACCACTCTGACAACACCAACAACTGGACAAGCACTAGAGGACTGACAACTCAGACAACAACAACAACTGGACAAGCACTAGAGGACTGACCACTCAGACAACACCAACAACTGGACAAGCACTAGAGGACTGACCACTCTGACAACACCAACAACTGGACAAGCAATAGAGTACTGCCCACTCTGACAACACCAACAACTGGACAAGCACTAGAGTACGGGACCACTCTGACAAACACCAACAACTGGACAAGCACTAGAGGACTGACCACTCAGACAACACCAACAACTGGACAAGCACTAGAGGACTGACCACTCTGACAACACCAACAACTGGACAAGCACTAGAGGACTGACCACTCAGACAACACCAACAACTGGACAAGAAACTAGAGGACTGACCACTCAGACAACACCAACAACTGGACAAGCACTAGAGGACTGACCACTCTGACAACACCAACAACTGGACAAGCACTAGAGGACTGACCACTCTGACAACACCAACAACTGGACAAGCACTAGAGGACTGACCACCCAGACAACACCAACAACTGGACAAGCACTAGAGGACTGACCACTCAGACAACACCAACAACTGGACAAGCACTAGAGGACTGACCACTCTGACAACACCAACAACTGGACAAGCAATAGAGTACTGCCCACTCTGACAACACCAACAACTGGACAAGCACTAGAGTACTGACCACTCTGACAACAACAACAACTGGACAAGCACTAGAGTACTGACCACTCTGACAACAACAACAACTGTACAAGCACTAGAGTACTGACCACTCTGACAACAACAACAACTGGACAAGCACTAGAGTACTGACCACTCTGACAACAACAACAACTGTACAAGCACTAGAGTACTGACCACTCTGACAACACCAACAACTGGACAAGCACTAGAGTACTGACCACTCTGACAACAACAACAACTGGACAAGCACTAGAGTACTGACCACTCTGACAACAACAACAACTGGACAAGCACTAGAGTACTGACCACTCTGACAACAACAACAACTGGACAAGCACTAGAGTACTGACCACTCTGACAACAACAACAACTGGCCCAAAGCACTAGAGTACTGCCCACTCTGACAACAACAACAACTGGACAAGCACTAGAGTACTGCCCACTCTGACAACACCAACAACTGGACAAGCACTAGAGTACTGCCCACTCTGACAATACCAACAACTGGACAAGCACTAGAGTACTGCCCAATCTGACAACACCAACAACTGGACAAGCACTAGAGTATTTGCCCACTCTGACAACACCAACAGCTGGACAAGCCTAGAGGACTGACCACTCTGACAACACCAACGACTGGACAAGCACTAGAGAACTGACCACTCTGACAACTCCAACAACTGGACAAGCACTAGAGGACTGACCACTCTGACAACAACAACAACTGGACAATCACTAGAGAACTGACCACTCTGACAACACCAACAGCTGGACAAGCACTAGAGGACTGACCACTCTGTCAACACCAACAACTGGACAAGCACTAGAAAACTGACCACTCTGACAATACCAACAGCTGGACAAGCACTAGGGGACTGACCCCTCTGACAACACCAACAACTGGACAAGTACTAGAGGACTGACCACTCTGACAACACCAACAACTGGACAAGCACTAGAGGACTGACCACTCTGACAACAACAACAACTGGACAAGCACTAGAGGACTGACCACTCTGAAAACACCAACAACTGGACAAGCACTAGAGGACTGCCCACCCTGGCAACACCAACAACTGGACAAGCACTAGAGGACTGACCACTCTGACAACACCAACAACTGGACAAGCACTAGAGGACTGCCCACCCTGGCAACACCAACAACTGGACAAGCACTAGAAGACTGACGACTTTGACAACACCAACAACTGGACAAGCACTAGAGGACTGACCACTCTGACAACACCAACAGCTGGACAAGCACTTGAGGACTAATCACTCTGACAACACCAACAATTGAACAAGCACTAGCAGACTGACCACTCTGACAACACCAGCAACTGGACAAGCACTAGAGGACTGACCACTCTGACAACACCAACATGAATTTCAAATGAAGATGCAAAGGGGAATTTATTATTATATTTGCTAGAATTATGGCAGAAAATCTGCAAATCTTAAATGCATGCTAATTAGTATATTATTTCAGTAATAATAGACTAATATTTTATTGCTTATTTATTTATTAATATGGAAAGTTTAAGCAACAACGGCTTTAAGGATAATCAGTAACTGACAGAACAAAAAAAAATATTTTCTATTTATTAGTTATGAATGGATTTTATAAAGACAGTAAGACTTTTTTATATATAAAAGCAATTTTAAGAAAAACTCATAATAAATCATTTGAAATCCGAGTTACTGATATAAGGAGTCAGGTTGAAGCAATATCCTGTTAGGCTTCTCATAAACCAGTCCACATAACAAATTATTATATCTGTATCTGTATTACCAGAATTAAATTGATGGACAGGTCCGCACGGTGCCAGAGTACATGACCAAGAGATTTGGAGGACAGCGCATACAGATGTACCTGGCCGTACTCTCCCTCGTCCTCTACATCTTCACCAAGATCTCTGTAAGTATCCAGCTTCCTGGACCCAGCTTGGTAAGCTGTGCCACACTAGATGTGATAAATGTTTTGACAACCGACAAGTTGAAGATTGGAACACTTATGCAAGATATGGGAATCTTTATTAAGGAAACGTTCCGCCACACAGTGGTTTCATCAGTTCGATGCAAAGTAGAAAAGGGTAAGGAGAGGAGGAGTTTGAGGTAATCAGTCCCTCAGCCTGGAATAGATGTGTTCATTCCATCACTCTTGTAGAAAGTAATGGACAAGAGTAATGGACTGAACACATCTATTTCCTCAAACTCCTCCTCTCCTTACCCCTTTCTGCTTTGTATTGGACTGATGAAGCCACTGAGTGGCGATACGTTTCCTTAATAAAGATTCCCATATGTTGCATAAGTGTTCCAATCTTCAACACTAGATACATTTAGGTCACTGTGCCACCGAGAGAGATGCAGCCTGGTTCACTGTCCCAGTATGCTTCTGCATATCATATAGTCCAAAACATCTAGCAGTAGTTAACCAGTCTACATGCCAAGTACATGGATGCGCACTTCTGTTGGTGCTTTGCGCCCTGTTTGTGTTCCGGGAAAGAAACGGACAAATGGTGAAGCAAATGCTGCTATCTCAAGCTTGTTCTAGCAGATTTTTGTCTCACAGTGACATTATAGGGGATATGCAGAGTAAAGTTCCAGGGATGTAGACTGTCTGTAGGGCCCACCGGAACCTACAGACAGGCAATACGTTACACATGGGTGTCGCACCCTCCTCCTTCAACCGAAATCGCCCTTTTGAGACGATTATTTGTCGAATGAAGATCAAACACACACACAACACACACACACACACACACACACACACACACACACACACACACACACACACACACACACACACACACACACACATACACCACACACACACACACACACACACACACACACACACACACACACACACACACACACACACACACACACACACACACCACACACACAACTTCCTATAGAAGCCTCCCAACCAGGTCAACCCCAGTGCAACCAAGCACTCTAAACCAAAACACCCATGCCATATCCAATGCCACCATCCACTGCATTACAAACTCCACCCCCACAGCAATCACCCATAGTTCCTTATCAGGTCTCCAACTTCCCCAACCCCAATACACCTCCCAGACCACAGTCTTAGAGAAGAAGTTGAAGGTGTGGTATACAAATGTAGATGGAATAACAAATAAGTATGAGGAGTGGCACGAAAGAATCAAGGAGACATCCCCAGACATAATAGCACTCACAGAAACAAAACTCACCAGAATAATAACAGATTCAATCTTTCCATCCAGATATCAAATCCTCAGGAAAGACAGAGAGAAGAGAGGGGGAGGAGGAGTTGCACTGCTCATTAAAAACCAGTGGGGTTTTGAGAAAATGGAAGGAATGGATGGCACGGGCGAAAGGGACTACTTAGTAGGAACAATCCAGTCTGAGGGACATAAGATGATAATTGCAGTAATATACAACCCACCACAGAACTGCACGAGGCCAAGAGAAGAATACGATGAGAGCAACAGAGCAATGGTCGACACACTAGTCGAGGTGGCCAGGAGAGCACACATGGGGGGAGCAAAGTTACTAGTTATGGATGATTTCAATCACAAGGAGATTGACTGGGAAAACCTGGAGCCCCATGGGGGTCCCGAAACATGGAGAGCCAAGATGATGGATGTGGTACTGGAAAACCTCATGCATCAACATGTTAGAGACACTACCAGAGAGAGAGGAGAGGATGAACCAGCAAGACTGGACCTTGTATTCACCTTGAGTAGTTCGGACATCGAGGATATTATGTATGAAAGGCCCCTGGGAGCTAGTGACCATGTGGTTCTGTGCTTCGACTACGTAGTTGAGGTCCAAGTGGAGAGAGTAGCAGGAATAGGGTGGGAAAAAACAAACTACAAAAGGGGTGTTGAGAAATGGGATTACCAACTAAGATATAATTTATAATTTTAAATATAGGGAACACTTAGCTGATAAAAGACAGCAAATCGTCTACACAGCCGCCCCTGCAGACGAGGTCTTGAATTGTTGTCATGATCATCTCTCAACGGGCTGGAATACATCATATTATGTAAACAATAAATTACCCTTAGGGGGTGTTATGTCAGCATATTTCATTCACTGATGGCTGACAAACTTACGTGTGTGAACACAAAGGTCCGCATATCACCGGGGTTTATGATAAGTGACTAACTCACGACTTTATACTCAACTGCGCAGTCAATAGTAGTACTTCAGGAGTTAGAACACTTACCTGGGTATATGTATCTGACCCGTAATTACGCCCGGATATCCGTTGAGTTGATTGAAGAATAGTGTTCTTTGAAGAATGTCGCACTACACTCTGTTGGCTCGCAACACTCGTTGTTACACTGTTCATCAATAATTGTTCACACAATATCACTAAGAAGTTGATCACACTTCTCTTTAAGTGTTTATCATGTTTTGTGAGACACTTTGTTCACACTAACGCACAGATTGTTCTTTGTTGGTTATCCTGGCGTCAGTGTCACTCTCAGTAGAGTCAAAAGTAATCTGAAGACGCCACAGCGCCCCACGCCGTCACTGCCCTTCACACATAAAAGAAAAGTTGACCTAGTACCTTTTGCTTCCTTGCCACTTCCTCGATGAAGCAAAGCAGAATGTTTGATTCTTTGCTGTCTTAAGCATAGACAACAATGTCCACTATCTTTACCATAGTAATAAAGTGGGAGCAGGATTTTCCTTAATTGTCATGCTAAGGTAAGAAATGGACTGTCTCTTATTAAAATACACTTTGCAACACTGGAGTCTTGCACGGAGAGGCGGTCGCTTGACCACGTCGCATACTGGTACTGAATCTGGGATAATTACTCGCTGTAGCAGTAAACAAGATGCTTGCCCCTTCTGAGAGGGCTGGGCCCCTCAGGGGTGAAAGGGGCTGAATGGGGCTGATACCCCCCTCCTGGAGAAAATTTCTCCACAAGGGGGAACTACTCAGGCATGAGGAACTTCCTTCAAAACATTCAGTGGAAGAGAGAACTGACAGGAAAACCAGTACAGGAAATGATGAACTATGTGGCAACAAAATGCTAGGAGGCAGAGGAGAGGTTTGTTCCCAAGGGAAACAGAAATAATGGGAAGAACAGAACGAGTCCTTGGTTCACCCAAAGGTGTAGGGAGGCAAAAACTAGGTGTACTAGAGAATGGAAAAGGTACAGAAGACAGAGAACTCATTAAAATAAAGAGATTAGCCGAAGAGCCAGAAACGAATATGCACAGATAAGAAGGGAGGCTCAGCGACAATACGAAAATGACATAGCATCGAAAGTCAAGACTGACCCGAAGCTGTTGTACAGCCACATCAGGAGGAAAACGACAGTCAAGGACCAGGTAATCAGACTGAGGAAGGGTGATGGGGAATTCACAAGAAACTACCGAGAGGTATGTCAGGAGCTCAACACGAGATTTAAAGAAGTATTTACAGTGGAAACCAGTAGGACTCCAGGAAATCAGAACAGGGGGGTACACCAGCAAGTGCTGGATGAGGTACATATAACCAAGGAGGAGGTGAAGAACTTGCGAACTTGACACCTCAAAGGCTGTGGGACCAGACAACATCTCTCTGTGGGTCCTTAAAGAGGGAGCAGAGATATTGTGTGTGCCATTAACAAAGATCTTCAACACATCATTTGAAACTGGGCAACTCCCTGAGGTATGGAAGATGGCATATGTAGTCCCAATTTTTAAAAAGGGAGACAGACACGAGGCACTAAACTACAGACCTGTATCACTAACGTGTATAGTATGCAAGGTCATGGAGAAGATCATCAGGAGGAGAGTGGTGGAGCACCTGGAAAGAAACAAGTGTATAATTGACAACCAGCACGGTTTCAGGGAAGGAAAATCCTGTGTCACAAACCTACTAGGTGGCAGAAGTAAGACAAGAGAGAGAGGGGTGGATCGACTACATTTTTTTGGGACTGCAAGAAGGCCTTCGACACAGTTCCTCACAAGAGGTTACTGCAAAAGCTAGAGGATCAGGCACACATAACAGGAAAGGCACTGCAATGGATCAGAGAATACCTGACAGGGAGGCAACAACGAGTCATGGTACGTAATGATGTATCACAGTGGGCACCTGTGACGAGCGGGGTCCCACAGGGGTCGGTCCTAGGACCAGTGCTATTTTTGGTATATGTGAACGACATGACGGAAGGGTTAGACTCAGAAGTGTCCCTGTTTGCAGATGATGTGAAGTTAATGAGGAGAATTAAATCTGATGAGGACCAAGCAGGACTTCAAAGAGACCTGGACAGACTGGACACCTGGTCCAGCAAATGGCTTCTCGAATTTAATCCTGCCAAATGCAAAGTCATGAAGATGGGGGAGGGGCACAGAAGACCACAGACAGAGTATAGGCTAGGTGGCCAAAGACTGCAAACCTCACTCAAGGAGAAAGATCTTGGGGTGAGTATAACACCGAGCATGTCTCCGGAAGCACACATCAATCAGATAACTGCTGCAGCATATGGGCGCCTGGCAAACCTGAGAACAGCATTCCGATACCTTAGTAAGGAATCATTCAAGACACTGTACACCGTGTATGTCAGGCCCATACTGGAGTATGCAGCACCTGTTTGGAACCCGCACTTGATAAAGCACGTCAAGAAACTAGAGAAAGTACAAAGGTTTGAGACAAGGTTAGTTCCAGAGCTAAGGGGAATGTCCTATGAGGAAAGATTAAGGGAAATCGGCCTGACCACACTGGAGGACAGGAGGGTCAGGGGAGACATGATAACGACATATAAAATACTGCGTGGAATAGACAAGGTGGACAAAGACAGGATGTTCCAGGGAGGGGACACAGAAACAAGAGGCCACAATTGGAAGTTGAAGACACAAATGAGTCAGAGAGATAGTAGGAAGTATTTCTTCAGTCATAGAGTTGTAAGGCAGTGGAATAGCCTAGAAAATGACGTAGTGGAGGCAGGAACCATACACAGTTTTAAGACGAGGTTTGATAAAGCTCATGGAGCGGGGAGAGAGAGGGCCTAGTAGCAACCGGTGAAGAGGCGGGGCCAGGAGCTAGGACTCGACCCCTGCAACCACAAATAGGTGAGTACAAATAGGTGAGTACACACACACATACACATACACACACACACACACACACAAACACACACACACACACACACACACAAACACACACACACAAACACACACACACACACGCACACACACAAACACACACACACTCAAACACACACACAAACACACACACAAACACACACACACTCAAACACACACAAACACACACAAACACACAGACACACACAAACACACACACACACACAAACACACACACACACACAAACACACAAACACTTCACATAAAGTCTCCTGTTTGCAACTTTTCTGTAACTTTCGGTGTTCAGTTAAGTATAAAACATTTTATTTATATGCTCACGACTTCGGTTTTCTCGCTACGTTGCATTTTTTATAATTGCTGTGGTGTCTGAAGGGACCTCGGAGAACTATTAAGGAAAACATTAAACATACTCAGTTAATGAGAGTTTTAACTAAGTTGTTCTAACTTAGTGTAAGGTTATTTATTTGTATTGTGTGTTGTGCTGTGTGTTTTTTGTTCTCAAGTTTCTTTACGTCTTGTTCATGTTGTCTGTTTCTTAATTTTCTATAATACCCGAGTGTCTTCCAAACCGAGTCAGTTCGTGAACATAACTCGACACTCTACTGCAGCAGAGTTGTGGCTAAAGACACTCTAGAGGACAAGGAGCGGTAGCTCAATAGCTTAAAGAGGTCCAAGAGCTGTAACCTGACAACATCAAGAGCCAGGGAACTGAAGCCTCACCTCATCACGTAGCCCAGGAGCTATAGCTCAAAATTATCAAGAAGAATACCTAAACAACTGTATGATTCCCAGGAGCTGTAGCTCACTGTCATCAAAACCATAAGCCCAACAGCTGTACTGCAACACCTTCCAAATCTTAAGGACTGTAAATAATATACTAAGCTCAGGACCATGAAATGTAGCTCAACATCGCCAGGACACCCGGATCAAGCACTCTTGATATTTGAGACAAATCATTAAAGTGTTTTAAAGAAATATTTCAAAAGATACAGGAGCTATACTTCAACTCCTACAAGAATTTTATGACGAAACACCAAGAAGTGATGTCAGAAAGTACAGTCAACAAAGGGGAGGGAGTTGGCTTGTATATCAAAGAGTTGTTTATTTACAGAGTTACTAAACACCATAAATTATATAGAAGAGTTGCCACTGAAGATTGAAAACCAGGTGCAACTTCCCAATAGTTCAAAAAACAGCTGTTGAAAACTGCATACCGTCTGGAAACTCTTTAAGCACGAGCCCCAACTATCTTGTTACTTGGTGATTTTAGTTTAAACACTTTAAATGGAAGAACGTGGCTAGTAGTGTAGTAGAGATAATTCCAGGAGGCAGCTCAGACAAATATTCTCACACATATGAACTGTTTAATCTCGGTAATCTATTTTCCCAAAGTCAGGAGATAAAGGAGTCAATAAGACTAGGAAATATACTTGACCTGGTTTTCACAAATAATGGTGATCTAGTACGAAATATGAACAGAATCGAAGACAATTATTCGAGATCACAAAATAATCGAAGTTAAGACCCGCAGGCACATGGATCCTGACCAACAAAGTTATGAGTATTTTTACCAAATTTTAATCTTAATAACAAGAACATTACCTGGAATCAAATAAATCGTGTTCTTATCGAAGCATGTTGGGAATATATCTTATATAAGAACATAAGAACGTAAGAATGGATAAGTCCTACTGGCCCATACAAGGCAGGCCCTTATCAAAACCAGCCCTTCCGAAAGCTACCCAAGAATTTACTCCCGCACCCACGACACCAATCAAACCCAGCCCCTCCCACTCATATATTTGTCCAATAACGGTGCCAGGAGCTGCATCTCAACTTTTAGGAGAGGCAAGAGGTGACACTGTACTTGTCAAACACAAAATTATGGATCAATCGGGAGAAACATTTAGAAGATATTTACAGGAGACTGACAACCACAAACCTCAAATTCCAAAACAATGCTAAAAGTTGGTATAAATTGAAGAAAAAATTAAGATTATTTTCACAGAGGACACGACCTCACAGTGCTTGAGACTCGATCAATGAATCAAAAATTTATAACTTTCCTTGGTAGTAGCAGCGGCTGCAACAGAAGCTAGATGTAGCTGGGTCGCTGTGCCATCGAGACAGATAAACCTAGCAATCTTCAAATCCAAACGAAGCATTTTTAATTTTAGTAGGATAAATTTTGTGTGGTCATTGAAAGGTGTAATGAATTTAGTGTAGCACCATTTATTTACTAATGTTCAAGAATATTCAAAATGTTACCCCTCAAAAAAAGCTTTAAAAACAGACTGCTTGAATGTATACTACTGTGTAATAGTTGGCCACTCCGGAATGTCCTCTGCAAGTGTTTTTTTCTCTATGCAGTGATTATCTGCGTGGAAAGTCCTGCTCAACCAATACCAAGACATTATTCAAATGAATTTTTAAGCATGAAAACAAAGAGTGCAAAATATTTTTAAATAAGCTTGGGACCGAGTCAGTGGGGCGGCCCAGTCCCAGAACATTCTTCAAGCATCGTTCCGGAAGAATGTTTTGCAACCTAAAACCAATACCTACCTTCCTTTCACAAAGGTATATCATCCCTGAAATACTGAAGATAATTCAAAGAGGCATTTTTGTGTTGTCACAAGAAAACGAAACGCAAGAGTATAAAATACTTAGGTAACCACTGTAGGTATCCCCCCTTCTGTGAACATCTAATTCAATTTTGGGAGCAGTTCCTACTAATTACAACCTTCCTTGCAGGTAGATCTATACTCAGGAGCGCTTTTCATCAACCAGGCTTTTAAATGGGACATTTTTGGATCTATATTAGCACTTCTTGTGATGACTGCCATCTTCACCATGACGGGAGGTCTGGCTGCTGTCATCTACACAGACACACTCCAGTTTTTCATCATGATCATCGGTGCACTTGTCGTCATGAGCAAAGGTGAAATGCCTTATTTCGGATAAGTAGGCAACAGAGATGCTATTCATTACTTTTTAGACAAATTGCCTAAAAAACATTGACAGTAAGATCTTCCTGGCTGAATTTACTTAAACTTATCCTCCTAATGGAGCTCATGAACAGTGCCTAAATTTTCTTCCTGTGGAGGTTTGATTGCATCATATGATATTGATAAATACTTTGATGCTGAAAAGTAATGTGAGGTTAAAATTAAGAGCAACTAAAATAATGTTTTCTATATTGTCTTATGCAGCCTTCCACGAAGTAGGTGGGTACGAGGCCCTCCAATACAAGTACATGCGAGCGGTGCCCAAGCTGAGGCCGGAGAACTCAACATGTGGGATCCCAAGAGCAGACTCGTGGGTGATGCTCCGGGACCCCGTCACTTCTGACCTACCCTGGCCAGCCTTCTTGTTGGGCCAAACTCCTGCTTCTATATGGTATTGGTGTGCTGACCAGGTATGAACCATTCGTATTTCTTTAACAAAAAATATTACTGCTAGAACTGGAAATCCCAAGACAACAAACACAGGATACCTCATTCAAATGTGTTGTTATATTAATTTATATTATTAAGAAATCATTCATCTTGCCTCGGTACTCACTTTTATGCGTAATTTCTAATGCATTTCATCTGACTGTTTTGATACTATGTTAATTTTAATTTTTAAGACTTTCATAGAGTTGAAAAAAATATCTGTTGTTAATTGGGACCATTTTGTATTGTCATGACGTTACAACTTAATGAGGGGAAAACCAAAAAAGATAAAATACAGGCCTTGTTTTCATGACTGGATGTCCCTGGCACGTTGCCTTTACTCCGATAAACAATAACTTACTTCCACTAATGACTTCCAGATGATGATTCAACGAGCACTGGCGTCGAAGAATCTCTCACATGCTAAAGGTGCAACACTGTTTACTGCATATGCAAAGATCTTACCATTCTTTATGATAATCCTGCCGGGTATGATATCCCGTGTGCTCTTTCCTGAGGACGTTGCTTGTGTGTTGCCTGAAGAATGCATGCGTTCCTGTGGCTCCAGTTCTTCTTGCTTCAACTCTGCCTACCCACGGTTGATTGTAGGCATCATGCCTGCTGGACTCAGAGGACTCATGCTTTCTGTAATGCTGGCTGCACTGATGAGTGACCTAACGTCCATTTTCAATTCAGCGTCTACCATGTTTTCTTTAGACCTTTGGCCTCGTATACGTCCCAAAGCGGAAACACGCGAGCTTCTAATAGTGGGAAAACTATTTATTGTGTTTCTGGTAGTTGTATCGGTGGCCTGGGTGCCCATCATCGAGGAGGTACAGAGCGGCGAGCTTTTCATCTACATCCAGAAGATTGGAGCCTATCTGTCGCCACCCATCGCCTGTGTGTATACCATGGCAATCCTGTGGAAACGTATGAACGAGCAGGGAGCCTTCTGGGGTCTGATGGCGGGGCTGGTGATCGGTGTCACACGTATGGCTTTGGATTTCTTGTTCCCACCTCCAGCGTGTTGGCAACACGAGTACCGTCCGCTCATTGTACAGCTGAACTTTATGTACTTCGCTGCGTTGCTTTTCTGGACGACTGCCATTGTTTCCATGGTAGTGTCCCTCATGACACAACCACAGGAGAGCCACAGGGTAAGTAACGTTGCTTCCATGGTAGTGTCCCTCAATAACACAGACACAGAAGAGTCACAGGGTAAGTAACGTTGTTTCCATGGTAGTGCAAGGTACTGCAAGGAACTTGCAATCCCATTCATTGATATCTGGGACCTATTCTTTGGCAAACGTGATATGTATACAAGGGACGGGGTTCATCTCTCTGGGGATTGAGTAGTTGCATTAGCCAATTCGATTGAGAGGGTAATTGATGACTTGTCATAAAGGGGATGTAAATAGCATGCTGAAAATTTCCAGCCAAGACAGGACTCGCAGCAATGGTTTCAATTTGGAAACAATCAGATTCAGGAAGGATATAGAAAAGTACTGGTTTAGTAATAGAGTTGTGGATGAGTGGAACAAACTCTCGAGTACAGTTATTGAGGCTAAAACGTTGTGTAGTTTTAAAAATAGTTAAGATAAATACATGAGTGGGTGTGTGTGGGTGTGAGTTGGACCTGACTAGCTTATGCTGCTGGGTCTGGTGCCGTACTCCATCCTTGAGTGGAGGTGACCAGACTGGGTGGGTCATTGGGCTAATCCGGGGGGGGACATGGACCTGCTCCGCATGGGTCAGCAGGCCTGTTGCAGTGTTCTTTCTTATGTTCTTCTGACACAACCACAGGAGAGTCACAGGGTAAGTAACATTGTTAGTATTATTTAGTTAATAAATTCAAATATGATTAAAGTTTGGAGACTGTCTGTAATTGATATATTTTTATCGTAGATAATATTCTTGAGCACAATATTATTATCATATTTTTTCTGATCATAAAGACTAATTTTGCCATTAGATATCTGAATATGTCATGTATAGACCAGTAGGCCTCCTGCAGTGTTTTTCTGTTCTTATGGTCTTATTTTCTTACGAAAATTGGCAAATCACGTTAGGAAATATAATCAGGGGGCGTTATAAATAAATAAAAAATAGCAAAGCCCTCAACCTTTCCTTAAATACTGGAAATAAGCTATTAAGACTTCCTTCTTTCAGCTAATTGGAACTACTTTCATGACTCGATTTGACAAAGCTGAGAGAGAGAATGAGAGACACTCGACCGTAGACCTTCCTGGTGACACAAATATCGAAATGAACATTGTTCAGCAAGGTGGGTGAACTTACACTCTCTTACACTCATAAATTTATTAGTACTGTATTCTGGAAGTGTAAATACTATTAACTTAGAACGGTTAAGAAAACACTTGGTGCGGATTCCAGTTGTTGGGAGATTCCTGGAATCTCAGAGAAACTGTATGGGCAGTACTCACTGTGAGTCGAGTTAAGAAACAGATTAAGCAGTTAGGAAATAAAGGCAGTTTAAAAAATGTGGGTTTATTAAAATATTTAAATATTATTTTTCGAAAGGATGTCGTCAATAATGGGACCAGTAAAGATGTCACAAGATGCGCACATTAAGAACATTAGCAGAATGAGACATGCAGCGGAGCCGCCTGACAACTTAATTACACTTCGGTCGTTTCTAAGGAAGGAAAACCCCTGAAAATGAGGAAACAGTAACTGTTATTCACTCCATCGCTATCTTTCCAGAAGAGTGCTAACAATACAGCTCAGCCAACCCTCTACACTACTTCCCCCGCGTCCAGAGTGCAATAATTGCTCTTCCCATTTCCAGGACTTAAGTTCGACTCTCTGCTTTCCCTAAATTCCTTCCTAAATGTTTCCTTGCTCGCACTCCAACAGCAAGTCAAGTTATAAATATTACTTACCTCTACTCAATCCGATGTAACACTCTCACACAAACATATCGGATGTTCAGACACCGAACATTGAAAACCTTTAATACCTTCTCCCTCTAACACTTTCTGAGACGACCTCTGTCCTTCCTTCCACTCAAGATTTAAATACACTCTTAAATTCCCTGTAAATGTTCAACACTTCTTAGTAACCCATTCTCATCCCTTCGAATTATTCTTTTTGTAACTCCACATCGTCTTCTTCTCTGAAAACTGTTAATTATCTGCGTTATATTTACACTACAAACATAACATTGCTACTGTCACCAGCCTCCTCCTCGCTGCAGGTTTACTGGTTTACTGGTTTACTGGTTTACTGGTTTACTGGTTTACTGGTTTACTGGTTTACTGGTTTACTGGTTTACTCCCATATATAAAAGCGTTGCTACCAATATACTTATGCACTTTTCTCTTTTTAACCTTCATGGATAAAGTTTTTTTTCTTTCTAAATTCCTCAATGACCCCCCGCCCCCCACACTTTTTTGCCTGGTATTTTTTTGCCTCGTGTTTTCTAAGGTTCTCCTCGTCTATCACAGACTCATCCGCCGACGAGTCTACTCCCAAATTTCTGAACACATTTATTTCCTCCATACTCGCTCCCTCCAGTCTGATATCCAGTCCAAATAATGACGTGATATTTCTGCCGCTCATTCTAATAACTTACACATTCATGACTCTTCCCTTCAATTTTATTTACATAGTCTAGTAAACTGTTGTTATTCCGCCATATATTATGTATCGTGAATTTGTCTATCTTCCATTTCTTAGAATATGAATTGACTATTATCAAACCTTTTTCTATATATAATTCAATCAGAGACCCAATTATAATTTACCTCTGACACTCCAAGTTGACCTGCTGCGCCATCTACGACACTTTCTCCCACTTTTAGACTACCTTCACCAAATATTTTCTCAGTTCAAATTTCTCTTACCATTCAGTTAACACTTCCCAGACTCTCTCTCTCCCTCCAACCTTTTCTTCCTCAGGTTCACAAACTTTTACACTCTCCCTTTTGACTCCATAGTTTATCATGTAACATTACCTCTACTTAATTTCTTTCAGATACATCCCACTGACCTCCATTTGCTACTCCACGTACATACATTTACACTTGTTGGCAAATTGTTGTTCCTGTGTAAGAATATAACATTATCTTGGAAGATCTTTAAAATTCTTACACTTATTTTTACAGAAAGTGGACAAGAGGAGGTGACGACCGCATCAGGTGAAATTAAATTCCTCACCTGGATGAAGAAATCATTGTGGTGGATGTGTGGCCTCCAGACCCCAGTGCAGTCTTCTGTGTCACACAACAGCCTCCCGACCCCAGGCAGTCTTCGTGTCAACAACACCTCCGACCCCCGAGCAGTCTTCTGGTACCAAAAAGCCTCCAGACCCCAGTGCAGTCTTCTGTGTCACACAAAAAGCCTCCAGGGGCCCCCGTGGGTTTCTGTGTCCACAACAGCCTCCAGACTCAGTGCAGTTTTCTGTGTACCAACAGCCCCCAGAAAGGAAACCCAGTTTTTAAACCCCTTGAACAAAACCCCCTATAAATTTTCTACTTAAAATTAATCTTGTGTGGGGCTGGCAGTTGGTATGGCCCTTTTTCCATTTCACAGTAGACCATTCCTAACGGTTTTGAAACTGGCAATTAGTCTGTCTCACTGGATAAACTACGCCGAGATAATGTTACGTCTGTCTTACGGGATAATACGCCCGGATAATGTTCTCTGTCCCACCGGGATAACTACCCGAGATAAGTTTGTCTGTCTATGGGATAAAACTACGCCGACATATGTTACGTCTGTTACCCGGGATAAAATACGCCGAGTAAGTTCGTCTGTCTACGGGTAAAACTAGCCAGATTAATGTTACGTCGTCTCAGGGATAAACACGCCCGGTAATGTTCGTCGTTCACCGGGAAAACTAGCCAGACTAAGTTAGTCTGTTTGGGTAAATACGCCCCCTAATGTTAGTCTGTCTCCCGGGATAAAATACGCAGAGAATGTTACGTCTTTTCCACCCGGGGTAACTTTGCCAGAGAAAAAAGTTACGTCTGTTCATCGGGTAAAAAAGCCAGGATAAAGTTCGTCTGCTACGGGTTAAAAAAGCCAGAAAACGTTAGTTGTTCAGGGATAAACTACGCCCGAGTAATGTTAGTCTGTTAAAGGGATAAATACGCCAGAAATTGTTACGTCGTTCCCGGGTAAACTGTAGAAAAATGTTAGTTGTTCACCGGGTTTAAAATAGCGAGTAAAGTAGTCTGTCTCCCGGGATAACTAGCCCCATATTTTTAGTTGTTACCCGGGGTAAAATAGAGGTTTTGTTTCGTTGTCCCCGGGATAAATGCCAGCATAACGTTACGTCGTCTCACGGGATAAAATACGCCCCGGATAAGTTACGTCTGTGTCATGGGATAAAATACCCAGACTAATGTTAGTCTGTGTCACTGGGGTAAATAGCCAGACATAAACGTCATGCCCATAATTGTTTTTAAAGATTTTTACTTAAAAAATGTTTAAAATATGTTTGAATAATAAAGGAATTTAAATAAAAATAAAATCCGCAGTAGTAATTTGCTTTAAATCAATACCCAATTTTTGAAGATGAAACGCGGCGGGTTTTTCTCCAATTAGTAATCTTCAGTACTGGATTGAAAGGTTTTCCCGGGCTTTTCACTATTATGTGATTTATTACGTGAGAAGGTCAAAGTACGTGTTATGGATACTTGTATGATCAGACAAACACGACTGTCAGCGTGGTAATACCACACAAAATGCCCTTAAATTTCCATTAAATTTTCGTTTTAAAAAATTTTATGTTTCAGCTTTTTTTTATTAGCGAATAACGATATTCAATTGGGGGCCCAAACCCCCAAGTTCTCTGGTAAGTTTAGTCAATAAAGGTCGATGGTTTATAGTTACAAAAAAAAGTTGTAAATAATGACCGCGTAAAACGTAAGACCAAAATTTCTATCCACCCACGGGGGGGATTGAACCGTGGGGTGTGAGTCGTAAAAATCCGACCGTGGGGTTCGCATGGCGGAATTTGGACTCATCGCCCCGAGTTCAATTCCCACCCGTGGGGGTGGTTTTTAGTATGTTTAATAGACCTAAACTTTCACTGCCAAAGGTTCAGTAAGTTACCATGTTGGCCCAACAAATAACTTGGGCCTCTCCAAAAATTTTTTACTTTGGGTTCCCCCCCCTGCTTATTTGGGGCCCCTAAAAAGATGCTTATCTGGGGCCTCAAGTGCTTATCGGGGGGCCTACAAGATGTTTACTCTGGGCTACAAGATGCTTACTCTGGGGCCAAAAAGATGCTTCTCTGGGGCCTAAAGAGTTACTCGGGGCTAAAATGCTTACTTGAGGCCTACAAGTTTATTGGGGCCCACAAGATGCTTTCTGGGGCCTACAAGTGCTTATTGGGGGCCCCAAGATGCTTCTGGGGGGCCCACAATTGTTATTGGGGCCCACAATTGAATCTGGGGCCCACTTTTGCTTTACTCTGGGGCCCACGATGCTTACTCTGGGGCCCTAGATGTTACTCTGGGCCCACGAGTTTACTCGGGGGCCCCAAAAAGATGCTTTTTCTGGGGCCCAAAAAAGATGCTTATTTGGGGGCCCCCAAAATCGCTTACTTTGGGGCCCAGTGCTTTTTAAAGGTCCACCAAGTTGTTTACTTGGGGACCACAAGCTGCTTCTTAAAGGCCCACAATTTGCTTATCTGGGGCCAAAAGCTACTTCCCGGGGGCCCCAAAGTTGCTTATCTGGGGCCCCCAAGATGCTTTTGGGGCCCAAAGAGCTACTTGGGGCCCACAAGATGCTTACTCTGGGGCCCACAAAATGCTTACTCTGGGGCCCACAATCTGCTTACCCTGGGACCCACAAGCTGCTTACTCCAAGGACCCACAAGTTGCTTACTCTGGGACTCACAAGCTGCTTACTCTGGGGCCCACAAGTTGCTTACTCTGGGGCCCACAAGCTGCTTACTCTGGGGCCCACAAGTTGCTTACTCTGGGGCCCACAAGTTGCTTACTCTGGGGCCCACAAGCTGCTTACTCTGGGGACCCACAAGCTGCTTACTCTGGGGCCCACAAGTTGCTTACTCTGGGGCCCACAAGCTGCTTACTCTGGGGCCCACAAGTTGCTTACTCTGGGGCCCACAAGCTAAAGGTACTGAGAAGCCCCTGAGCTACAGGTACTGTGAGGCCCCTGAGCTACAGGTACTGTGAGGCCTCTGAGCTACAGGTACTGTGAGGCCCCTGAGCTACAGGTACTGTGAGGCCTCTGAGCTACAGGTACTGTGAGGCGCCTGAGCTACAGTTACTGTGAGGCCTCTGAGCTACAGGTATTGAGAGGCCTCTGAGCTACAGGTTACTGTGGGCCTCTGAGCTACAGGTACTGTGAGGCCCCTGAGCTACAGTTACTGTAAGGCCTCTGAGCTACAGGTATTGAGAGGCCTCTGAGCTACAGGTACTGTGAGGCCCCTGAGCTACAGGTACTGTGAGGCCCCTGAGCTACAGTTACTGTAAGGCCTCTGAGCTACATGTATTGAGACGCCTCTGAGCTACAGGTACTGTGAGGCCCTCTGAGCTACAGGTACTGTAGGCCCTGAGTACAGGTACTGTGAGGCCTCTGAGCAACAGGTACTGTGAGGCCCCTGAGCTACAGGTACCGCGAGGCCCCTGAGCTACAGGTACCGTGAGGCCCCTGAGCTACAAGTACTCTGAGGCCCCTGAGCTACAGGTACTGTGAGGCCCCCTGGTACAGGCACTGTGAGGCCCCTTGAGCAAACAGGAAACTGTGAGGCCCTGAGCTACAGGTACTGTGAGGCCCCTGAGCTACAAATACCGTGAAGCCCGTGAGCTACAGGTGCTGTGAGGCCCCTGAGCTACAGGTACTATAGGGCCTCTGAGCTACAGGTACTGTGAGGCCCCTGAGCTACAGGTACTGTGAGGCCTCTGAGCTACAGGTACTGTGAATCCCCTGAGCTACAGGTACTGTGAGGCCCCTGAGCTACAGGTACTGTGAGGCTCTTGAGCTACAGGTACTGTGAGGCCTCTGAGCTACAGGTACTCTGTGGCCGTTGAGCTACAGGTACTGTGAGGCCCCTGAGCTACAGGTACTGTGAGGCCCCTGAGCTACAGGTACTGTGAGGCCCCTGAGCTACAGGTACTGTGAGGCCCTCAGTGATAATTTCGAAAGAAAAAAAAATTAATTGCAAGGCCTCCAGGGGGTGCAACCGCTGGAGGCCCTCCAGCAGGCGGAGGCCCCTGGGATGTAACCCCTGGAGGCCCTCCAGCTGGTGGAGGCCCCTGGTCTGCAACCGCTGGAGGCCCTCCAGCTGGTGGAGGCCCCTGGTCTGCAACCGCTGGAGGCCCTCCAGCTGGTGGAGGCCCCTGGTCTGCAACCGCTGGAGGCCCTCCAGCTGGTGGAGGCCCCTGGTCTCCCAACCTGGGGGCCCCTCCAGCTGGTGGAGGCCCCGGGTCTGCAACCCGCTGGAGGCCCCCCAGCTGGTGGAGGCCCCTGGTCGCAACCGCTGGAGGCCCCAGCGGGTGTAGGCCTGGTCTGCAACCCCTAAATCCCATACCTTAATCCGGCCTTGCTTCCTAGAGCGCTCTATTATCCTCATCAAAATTTATTTGACGACCCATGTTATGTCATCGTAAAACTTCCTTCTGTCTCTGATGTGTTCCTTCATGTATGTTGTTTATGTATATTATGAACAGCTTTAGGGCCAATATTGACCCCCTGGGGAAAAAATTACTGGTAACGGGCCTCCTGGGGGACATTACTGTAACAGGTCGCCAGTCTGGGGACTTTAAACGGTAACAGGTCCCCAGTCTGAGGGCCATTACTAATAACAGGTCGCCAGTCTGGGGGAAACATTACTGGTAGCAGGTCCCCAGTTGGGGACATTACTGGTACAGATCGCCCAATCTGATGTTTTCTCATTTAAGTTCATTTTAAGAGTTATTTCTTCTAGTTAGCTCTGTCAGAAATAGTTATGAAAATTATTATTTCAGAAAATAAGCGCTAAACCCACAAGGGTCATACAACGCCGATAGCTGTGAAAAACAATCCTGGTCTTTGTCTATAAAGTCGTTAGACTCTAAATTTCCGTCAGATGATTGGGAGTCAGTTTGACTGTTACAATCTACCTTTGACACGATATTGTCGTACCTAGACGGTTTAGTAATTTCGTCCCACCAGAAATTACATAGGTCGCTGTCTGGGTTTTGTGACCTGTAGCTCAAGCATAAAATTAGTTTTTCACGCCTTCAAGAAAAATGAAGTCACGTAGGAAAATTTTTTTCTGTCCTTATTCCAGTGTATAATTTATGATCCTATAATTAAAATTTCCCCCAACATAT